CCCACAGTGCTATTGTGTTCTGCCGGCGGAGAATGCGGCACCGGCAGAATAAATCGATCACTGCAGGCAGCTGTAGCCACTGGTAGTTATCGGACAAAAAACCCCCACAAGCTGGTTGTACTAAAGTTGATTGATGGATTGACTTCAATACAAACAGCCTGCCCTTAGATGGATCAAAATTCAGCCGGTTCCTGCTGAACCATCCAAATTTGAATCTGTCCATGGCTGGTTTAAGAAGACAAATGCACCTTTGCAGTGTGACTTGTTTCATAATGTTTTTATTCCATTGGCTGTTAACACTTAAAACAAATCTTATAAAGGAACAGGTTAGACAAGAATTTTGTCACTTTATAATGTGACAAGGAAGTGAACCTTAATGTTACCAGATGGTTCTGGGGATTTCCACTTCCAACTAGATTAGGGGTTTCAATTCTGCAATTTGTGTAATTAAGGGGAAGTACAGCAAATTACATTTTCTTTTGAATTTATTTTTACATTACAATAAATAAATTAGTTGGTAACACAATCCTTTTTAATCACCATGTTACTGACTTGACCCAGCATTTACCTAAAAAGGATACAACTATATAATGAGCTGGTGTCATCCAGTGCTAAAACAATGCGAAAAAGCTCTGTGTTTCCAGAACACACTGGTCCAAATACAGTCATTTAGAGAACTTGGTAAAAAAGCTAAAATTGCTATCATATTTGGCTAATACTTTCTTTTGCCTGTTTTTATTTGAAAAGTTTACTTAAAAAAAAAAAAAAAAGTTGTGATGTACAAAAAAATCAGTTGGTCCCTTTCAGATAAGCATTTCAAACAGATCTGCATATCAGTTTTTCAGTCTTTTCTGTTCAGCTCCTGTTCATGGATCCCTTGCTGATCAGAACGAACGCCGCCAATGTATATTAAAACACAGTTTTCACTGATATGCAAAAAGTAAGAGGTTTAAAGAGAATCTGTAACTTTGACAATTCAGAACAAAGTAAAAGGGTATCATACCAAGTCACCAACCCACATAGTCATCTTTGCCACTTTCCCAAACCAGTTGGTTTTGTGGTCACAAGTACCTGTTGTTTTCATATGGAGGAGAATGTGGCCTCTTCCTAGGATGCAGTACTCAGGCCTGATTGGCAATTTAGCAGGCCCAAACACTATAATCTGATGTGGAAAATTAAGTCATGACCCTTTGTCAGCTCCAACACCCTCCGCTTGCATATACAGTGAAGGAAATAAGTATTTGATTCTTCACCTTATCCAGCAAGGCTCGGGTACCATCCATTTTAACTGATGGCCTTCCGAATGGATTCGATGAAAGTCCCTGATTCTGTAATGAAACTGTTCTGGACTTTCAGGTACAGTGCAGGAAATAAATATTTGATTTTGATCCCCTGCTGATTTTGAATGTTTGCCCACTCACAAAGAAATGATCAGTCTAAAAATTGACTGGTAGGTGTATTGTAACACTGTTACGAGTTTGAGTTGCCAAACGTCAGCCACCAAACCTTAATGACTTTGAGAGGATCTGCAAGAGGAGTGGGCCAAAATCCCTCCTGAGATGTGTGCAAACCTGGGGGCCAACTACAGGAAATATCTGACCTCTGTGATTGCCAACAAGGGATTTGCCACTAAGTACTAAGTCATGTTTTGTGAAGGGAATCAAATACTTATTTCCCTCATGAACATGTAAATCAGTGCATAATTTGTTAGACATGCATTTCTTTTGAACTTGTTGTTTTTCTATTCTGTGTCTTAGTGTTACAATACACCTACTATTTAATTTTTAGATTGATAATTTCTTTGTGAGTGGGCAAACATTCAAAATCAGCAGGGGATCAAATACTTATTTCCTTCACTGTAAGTTTATGGTGTGTGACATTAGTTGGAGAATATTAGGTTTACAGGGTGCATGGACCAGAGCAGGTGTGGCTCAGGTTGGATTTAACCTCTTCACTTCCTACTTTTGTTTATAGCACAAAAAAAAATAAAACACCCAGTGGCAATTAAATACCACTAAAAGAAAGCTCTATTTGTGTGAAAAAAATGCCAAAAATTTCATATGGGTACAGTGTTGCATGACTGCGCAATTGTCATTCAAAGTGCGACAGCACTGAAAACTGAAAATTGGCCTGGGCAGGAAGGGAGTGAAAGTGCCCGGTAGGCAAGTGGATATAATAATCTAGGGAAGCCTTTCCCAACGTTTTTAACATGGAGGTACATTTGAAATAACTTTCTAGCAGTGGCATCACTATGGTTGGTGTCACCTGGTGCAGTAAAACATTGTGTTGCCCTCCCCCCCCAAAAAAAAGGGTGTGAGAGAAAGGGGGTAAGAGAGAGGGGGGGGGGAATAAGAAAGGTATTAAGAGAGAGGGGTCAGGGAGAGAGGGTGAGAGAGAGGGGGGAGGTAAGAGAGGTGGTAAGAGAGAGAGGGTAAGGGAGTGGAGGTAAGGGAGAGGGTGAGAGAGAGGGGGTAAGAGAGAGGGGGGGGTGAGAGCGAGAGAGGGTAAGGGAGAAGGGGGTGAGAGAGAGGGGGGGCTAAGAGAGAGAGAGAGTAAGAGAGAGAGAGGGGGGTATTAGAAAGATATGGGGTGAGAGACAGAGAGGGTAAGAGAGGGAGAGAAGTAAGAGAGGGAGGGTGAGTAAGGGGGGGAGACTTCTCTCACAATCTGTGAGCATTCTCTATAAATCCTTACTGTCCAGTCAAACATTCTTCTTTTACCTATATCATTTCCTGCCTCTCTCCTTTCAGATTTTCTTTCCTTCACTTCAGTCCACCTCCGTTTTGTTCACTGGCCATTACAGGGAGGAGCCTAGGGGATGCTTTCCCTGCTGTACTTGTGAAAGACTGGAAGAGAGATTGCTGCAGGGCAGTACCTGTATCTGATCCTACAGGCACTCTGCCCAGCGAAAAGGAGTATGATCTTCATGTTTCCAAACGCACAGGAATACCAGAAAGAAAATTCATGCTTTGCCATGCGTTTTGGAAACACACTATAAATCAGATTGTTCACCAATTTTACTTTCAGGCCCCATTCACATCTTGGTAAGTGGGAGTGCACATTTTTGGCTCGTTTTTCCCGCAGCATGCATAGGGCAGCTCATTGATTTCAATGGCAAAGTAGCTCAAGGGACATTTTGGGGTGTTGAGGTTTGCCCATTTTTTTACTGTGCATTTTGCTGCGTTTGTCACTTGTTTTATCATGCGCTTTTAAGTGTGTTTGCTTCTGAGTTTAGCATGTTATTAACAATTAATGTCACCAAAAGAGCGACTAGTTAATTTTAGATGTATAAAGGTGGCCATACACTATCCGATTGTAAAATCTCTGTATGATCTCCTTTAGACTTACCAAAACTATATGATAGGACAACCAACACACCTGTCAATCCAATCACTCTGCATCCAATCAGACAAGCCCTTGCACTACATCATTGATGGTAGATCTAAAGGAGATTGTACAGTCAGATTGTAGGGAGAGCTTTAATGACTTCTAGGACATATTTCTTCTGTTTTTAATACTACAGCTATGCTCAACATAGGCTGTTATGTAGTAACTCAGTTACTGCACACTCTGCAAAGTGAACAATCTATACAAGATGAAGTTACAAAACAATCGATCTCTGGCTGTGTATTTAATGAGAACAGTGCTCAGTGATAATGAATGCATTGGAAAAGCATGAAACTGAAGAGGGGAAGGAGCAATCTCCTGGAGGGGGAGGGCAGGTGAAGGGTGTGTGGTAATGAGGTCAGCTACTGAACTCCTTACTTCTAATGTTTTTTTAGTCCCAAATACCAGAACAGGTAATGGAGGCGTTTTATATAGGGAGAGAGGCTAGAGGTGAGGCCTGTCCGAGAACATAGAGAAAGCTGTTTGTTTTTTTTTTTTGCAACAGAAGTACAATAATGGTATATTGTTACATAGGGAAGCTGGAATTTAGGGGGAAAATGTGAACTTAGTTCTTAACTGCAGCTTATGTACATAGAGAAACTGATTTGCAGTTCAAATTTGGTCAAAATGTGGGTCAAAACTTTTATTTTCTTTATGTTCATCTGTTTAGCTGGCTAGTAAGTCCTCATGCACACTGGACGTTTTTACAGTTACTGTTTTTGGCTTTTGATGTTTTTCTACAGCCAGTAAACTCCCCCAGCATGTTATCCTATGTGTCCATGCACACATACACTGTAATCAGCGTTTTTTGGCTTTTGATGTTTTCTAAACTCCCCAACATGTTATCTTATGTGTCCATGCACACATAGTAATTAGCGTTTTTTGGCTTTTGATGTTTTTCTTTCTACAGCCAGTAAACTCCCCAACATGTTATCTTATGTGTCCATGCACACATAGACTGTAATCAGCGTTTTTTGGCTGGAAAAAAAAAACAGAACTAGTGAGTTTTTAAAGGAATTTTTTAGCTGTAAAAATGCTCTAACGCTGGTAAATGTGAAAAAATGCAGGAAAATGCGGCAAACTGGGTTTTTGGGCATGTTATTTTAGCAAAAATATATTTTTAGTGTAAAGAAAAAAATGCTAAAAAACATGGAAAACTCACATTTTTAATGTGACTTTATGCAGCTAACGCTACCTGCATTTTTAAAACGCCCAGTGTTCATGAGGACTTTTAAAAAAAAAACAAGTCGTCAATCAAAAGTGGCAGTTAGAGGGTTCAGATATTTAACCCTGACATGGGTGCTTTGTTTCTCCATCCTGAGAGAAGACATCATAAGACAGGCAGTGTGGAACTGGCCAAATCAATGGGGTGGAAAAAAAAGGGTTAATGAAGCAACCACATTTAAAGTGTTACTAAACCAACAACAGTAAAATCAGTCTGTATATGCAGTAAAGCATGCTTGTTATTCTCACTGCGGAACCTAAGGGGTTAATACTCTGCATTGTGTAAAAAGACTGTTTGATCCTGATTTCTCTGATCCTTCCCTTCTTCCAGTGCCCCCCCCCCCCCTCTTATCTCCTGATAAGACATATTTTGTGGAGACACTTTGCACATGCTCAGTTTGGTGTGTATTGCTAGAGATATTTTTATTTCCTCTGGGAGGGTGCATGTGATCAGCACAGGGCCAATCAGCATTGTCCAGAAAGAGGTCAGGGGTTCTGCATCTTCATCCTAGAGCAGAAAGAAAACTCCTCCTACAGGCTTTAACCAGTGCTCTGCTGGACACTGATAGATGCCACAAGACTGCTATATACTGCTGATGACAAAAGGTATTTAGCAGTTTATATTTACTAAAATAATTGCATTTCAATGTTCTGTGTACTGTGGGAGACCAGATATAGTGAATGTCGGGTCCTGCGGTTAGTAACACTTTAACCACTTGCCCTCCAGAGGATTTACCCCCCTTCCTGACCAGGCCAATTTGTGCGATACGGCGCTGTGTTACTTTAACTGACAATTGAGCAGTCATGCAACGCTGCACCCAAATTAAATGTATGCCCTTTTTTCCTACAAATAGAGCTTCCTTTTTGTGGTATTTGATCGCCTGTGCATTTAAAAAAAATTTTTGCGCTATTAAAGAAAAACACAAAAAACGACAATTTTGAGAGAAAAAATATTTTTGACTTTTTGTTATTAAACATGTCCAGTAAAAAAAAAATTTTAAAAATCAAATTTCATCTTAAATTTAGGCCAAAATGTATTCTGCTACATGTCTTTGCTAAAAAAAAATCCCAGTAAGTGTAAATGAATTGGTTTACATGAAAGTTATAGCGATTACAAATGGCGGTCTATACAATGGAATTTTTTTTATTTTTTTTTCAACTAGTAATGGTTTTCATCAGCGACTTATAGTGGGACTGCGGCAGGCATTCTAACACTGGGGGGAACTGACTTGGTGTCACTGACATCCCCAGTGACACCAATACAGTGATCAGTGCTAATAAAAAGCACTGACAATGTACTAATGATACTGGGCAGGAAGGGGTTAACATGAGGGGCGATCAAAGGGTTAACTGTGTGCTATTTTACTGTGAGGCTGTGTGCTGTGTTTCACTGCAAGTACATAAAAAGCAGAGCTATACAAAGCAGTGTGCAGGAGCTGACGGGGGATATATCTGTATTGTTTATACACAGGTCTCTCCGCCGTCGGAGATACTCGGCAATCACCGGCTGGGACCCAGTGTTGGACAGCTGAGACCACGAATGGCAGTGAGGGTAGGGTGTGCGCACACCCCATACCCGGAACTGCAAAATCACGTATATATACAAGTGATTTTGCACACCCGTGCCGTCCTGTAGCGGTATTTCTGCTATAGGGCGGTGCGGAAGCAGTTAAGAAATACTAAACTGCAATAGCTTACATTTAGTTTTTGGTGTTAATTATGCTAATAAACCCCAAAACAACAATTTAGTGTATTGCAGCTTACTACGGTGCATACAGTGCATTATCCTTATTGCATAAACGTCAAATAAAACTCAAAATGAAAATCTCAGTGTATATTGCATTAAAAATTTGCATAAATCACCCAGTGTCCACTTCTATGTGGCTGAATTAAATACTCTTACCCTAAAAATACTTGTACATAACTTTACATCTCATTCCATATTAGAATCCACTCAGAAACAATTGAGTACTGTTCGTGATACTTTTTTTATTTGCACTAAGTCAGTACTGCTTAGACCTTGAAGAAAGCTTGTCCTCAAAATTGTATGTTAGTGCAAATAAAAAAGGTATCACGGACAGTACTCAATTGTTTCTGTCGCAAATGCACTAATACGGCTACAATCACCTCAAGTAGAATCCACTCAAAAACTGATCCTTTCGAATGCATCCTTTTCTTCATAAAGAATACCTCCTGGAGAAAATGTATGATAGTGTAGTATCCTTTAGACATATAATAATATGTGCTCCCCTCTTCAACACCACTAGTGCAACAAAATCCACACGCCACCACCTTCCAAACCATGCACCTTACTGGACTTAAATGTCCAATAGCATAGATGAGAAATGCTCCTCTCATTCCACACTGATCCCGCTTCCAATCTCATTAGGGCATCATATCATAGTTCAAAAGAGAAAGGCCATATAGTGTAGTATATATTATAAATGGGTCTATTTTATTAAAATTGTGCTTACAAGAAAAACTCTTTAAAATCGCATATCTCCTCAATGTATAAGCATTGTGTCCATTCAGTACAGCATAGGGTATAGAAAACCTTTCTCAAAAAGGCCACTCCACTGCTTCTAGTTTACGTCCACATCCGACGTCACGTCCCTTGACGTGTATCGTCACTTCCGATTTCTTCAAAAAGGTGTCTGACGTATTTCATAAGAGCATGGTGAGTTTTTATAAATTGTAATTTTTTGTCATAATTTTTTGGAAAATGAAGAAATTAAAAAAAAATTTTCACAATTTTGTTTTTACATACTGTCACCAGTGCAGTACAGTGTCATCATATAACTGGTGTGGCAGTGATCAGGGACATTGATGACAGTACGAAAAAAAAAATCTATAGTTTTTTTTCAGTTTTTTTTTCAATTTTTTTAATTTTTTATTACATTTTGTTCTTTTTTTTTTAAAAGATTTTTTTCATATTACAGTATGACCAAAGTAGTATAATGTTACCATAGTGACATTGTACTACTTTGGGGAAGTGATCAGTATTTTATTTTTTTTACACAATTTGATTGCTTATAGCAAAGAATTTATTTGCTACAGGCAAGTATTTAACTGAATGAAATCGATTCATTCAGGTTTTTTTCTTGTGATTAGCTGTGATTGGCCACGGCTAATCACATGACAAAGATGGGCTGTGATTGGACCAGCCTGTGCATTTGATCGCTGTGACCATTCACAGCTAGATACACATGTATACAATGGATGGCATGAAAGGAAGCCATCCATTGTATACAGCAGGTCACATGGTATTGGCAACAGGGCAGTGACACAGATCTGTCATCGGCAGTGTCCGAGGTACACAGCAGGTAACAGATCTCACCACAGCACGGCCCTGCGGGCATGCGCAATGTCTGATCTGGGATCTGAACCTCATATGGCGCCCTCCCGGAGGGACAAAGTGTTCACCCAGCCGTCATTTGATTATAGGCCGGGTGGCAACTGGTTAAGTAAGAGCACATATGTGGTCCTTGCTAGTGCTCGGCAAGAGACCTCATTCTGTTATTGCGAGTGAGGTGGCAGAGGTACATTGGGCAATATAACTGATTTTATTTTTTTGTCATTTTGCATAATTTCAAATAATTTTTGTGTAATAACATGCAGAGAGGACACAGACATTGATATACAACTTAACTCATTCTCCTATTTATATAGTATTGAGGGTTTGTAATTTAAGATAAAACTTGTTTTAGCATACCTATTAGTATTTATAACACTAGGGGGCAAGTGTCTTTTTCCACTTGTCTATGGCGGTGGTAATTTTCGTATATAGATTCATTCTTAGGATATATCAACTCCGTTTCATGTTTCAACCTATGAAAGTGCCGTTTTAGGTGCAAAGTTAATTATCATAGGGTTTTAGCAATGGATGTTAGTATTGTATTTGTATCGTCAACCCAGAAGCATGATGGAGAATGTAAACAAAGTGGTGTAGCGCTATCCCAGAGACCTCTTTTTTTTTTTTACTTATTTTCCACCATAATTTGCAAATAAATTCTTTCCAAATCAGCCAATGTGATTGTCTGGATTTGTTTTCTCATTTTGTCTCTCATAGTTGAGGTCTACCTATGATGCCAATTACAGGCCTCTCTCATCTTTTTAAGTGGGAGAACTTGCACAATTGGTGGCTGACTAAATACTTTTTTGCCCCACTGTATATCATTGTTATGATTTAAATATGTGGATGAGGATATACTGTAGCGATCTGTGGGATAGTGCTACACCACTTTGTTTGTATTCAATTATGTTCTTTCTAGGCATATAGTCAGGTAATAGCAGCTCCCTTTTTATAATCATAAGCAGGTAGCGAAGGAGGCTTATCCTATATTATGATGGAGAAAATGGCCGCAGGAAGAGGGCGGGATGTTGTATAAATAGAGTTCGGTGGAGTCTGTCACCTGTTGCCTATCAGGAAGTCGATTGAATGACTAAACGCATCAGCCGATTGTGACAGCAGATGCAACCGGAAGTACCGTGGCGGCCAACTTTGAATCAGTTGTAATAGCCAGTTTATACCTCTGATTCATGTAAGCGCAATTTTAATAATTAAATTTGATCTTTCAATACTGTTGCACTATGGGAGTGTATGTTTATCTTTTATGAACACTGAGGACATATGAAGAACCGGGGAGGAAACTGAGCACGTTGATTATATATTTTGGAAAGGCTATTTACAAGACATGCAGGATAAGGTGCATGCCTGAAGGGGAAGGGATTGAGCACGTTGGATTTGTTTCATACACAAGTGGTGCATGGAGTATGGTCACATGTATTTTTGGATGTTATTCACAGCAAAGGAGTGAATTTAGAGGATAAGTAGTGGACACCTTTAGGATAATATTATATTGGTGCGCAGGTATATATATATATATATATATATATATATATATATATAAAATTATTATAGCACATTAGCATAAGAAATACTACACTATATTAGTTTTTTCTTTGGAGATTTGGATCACTCTATTGGAAGATCAAAGGAGAGAGAAATATTCCATGGCATACAGCACATTTGGGTGTAGGAGATTCTGATGAGAAGACAGGAGAATTGTTGTGCAAAGTTGTGCACTGTTGTTTACACACAAAACTTTCCTCACAGCTGTCACAGCATGAGGAGAGGAGAGCTGGTAAGCGGTGATCGTGACAAGGGATGTTTACACTTATAATCAGGGTACTGATCATCAGTGCCCTGATTATCAGTGCAACCCAATCAGTGCCCATTAGTGTTGCGTATCCGTGTCTCCTCATCAGTGCTGCCTGTCAGTACCCATCAGTGGCACCTAACAGTGCTTATCAGTACAGCTTCATCAGCGCACATGAGTGAAGGAGAAAAATTACTTATTTGAAATTTTTTTGTTAACAGAAACAAAGAAAAAATATGTAAAAAACTTTTTGCGCTGCTACTAGAAAAGATGGGACTATTGGGACAGTAGTACACACCTGACTATACCACTAAGTCAGGTGTAACTAAAGGTGTAACAAACAATAAACCGTGACCATGGGCAAAACGCATGGAAATGATCAGGGAACAATAAAAATATTAACTAAATCACAGTAATAGTGGGACATATGAGCCCGTCATAACATAAATGAAATAACGTTAATACAACTGATGAGAAAGTGGAGCAAAATGTGAAAAATACAAAATGAAGTGCTTAATAATAAAAGTGGACA